TATATATATATATATATATATATATAGAATTTGACTCAAATGAAAAAATAAGTTAGTGAAAGAATAAGAATGCTTGTATACCATCAGATCTGTTTAATTAATGGCTGCGATCGAAATAGTCAGTTTTGACCGCACCTGAAAAAAAAAACGGTGGCATTCACGTAATTACAGTGAACTTTATGGTGATTTTTGTGTGCTTGAGGGCAATAGTGTACTTTACCATCACACCAAAGGGTATAAGGTATTCAGAGCCATTGATGACACATTCATTGTAGATCTGCCATTTGGAATCCGAGAGGACGCTCTCCGGACATGCTTTACTTTCAATTTAGTGCCGAAAATTCCAACTGATTTTTAGTCCAATTTTCAGGCTCGGTTAACGGTCATCACCATTCGTGAAGTTTGTAGAGTTGCTTCAAAGAATAATCGATCGATCCCTTTTTTTTTTGGTTTTTTACTGTCGGGGTAGGTTCATAAGATGGGAAATTCTCTACAATCGAAGAAATTTGGTAAGTGCATCTTCTCTTTTACGTTCATTAATCATTCTTGTATGTATATATTCTCCGTTATGAACAAAAAAAATCGAAATTAGGGTTTATCAGGTGCCGGTGTTCGTGAAATATATATATATATATATATATATACATATTGTTGTTTGATTTATATTTTATATTTAATCGTTGATTATCCCTCTTTTTGTAGTTCTGTTTTTTATATATCCCGTGTTATTCCCTGCTAGTTATTGTATTGTCCCTTCCTTTTTTTTAAAAAAAAATTTGTGCATGTTGAAATTTGGGGTGTGCTTAGTGCAATCGGAAGTGTTAATGTGCTATTGTTGTGTAGTTTGTTAAAAAATTGATGTGGTATTGTGGTCGGTGCTATTTTGTGGCTCTGTTGTTTTAATGTGATAATGTTTTGGGTTTGGTGAAAATATTATATGATTTGGAGTTTGCACCATGTGATTTATGTGTTGATGGGTTTTTAAATATGGTCTGTTTTGAAATTAAAGTGCATGTAGTATAGACACAAGTGCACCTCTTGTACATACGTAATACAATATACAACATAACATAATTTATGTCTTATGTCTGATTAATATGGTTGTTTGTACAGGTACTCCACAGAAAGGTACCACACCTAAGACGAATGCTACCGTACCCAAAAATCATGGTGAAGAAGGTACAAACATGTTCTCGTTATTGCTTTTAAACACTGCCATTTAATTGTTTTCATGTCGTTTGTTTGTTTTTAATTGTATTCGTTTTATATTTTTAGTTGCAGACAAAAGTGTGGTCGATGTATGCGTGTCAGACTGATCGTCTGGTGTTTGTAAGTTTTTTGTAATTGTTTGTTATTCGTGTAGTTCAAGTTTCATTTGTAATTATTTGTATTCGTGTTCTTAATTTTATTTTTTTATTTTATATAATGTCTAACGGCTGTTGACATCCAATAGTGACTCGAAGTCGTACAAGCTTGGCCATAATACAACTAGGTGACCCATCAGTGAACCATGATAACACTCCAGTAGGTAAATATTTTCGAAAACAACATTGTAACAATTTTTGTAATTTATGTTTCTTAACCCTTTTTTTTGTTTTACAGATGACGCGCCCAAACGATCCCTGGATGCACCAGAACCTGTTGGTGCCATTCCGAAGCGTAAAAAAGTTGTGCGAACAGTGAGGTAGACCGGTATTACCAAAACGGTTGATGGTGGTTCTCGACCCTGTATGACGGAAGCTTCAAAAAAAGGGCATGGTATATGTAACTAGTTACATGTGTAAATATTTTTCATACGTATATGTCTGTAGTTGATCGTTTCTAATACTTGATGTTGTTCAGGT